CCAACATCGGTGGCGAACACAACGCACGCTAAGTGTTTAGCGTAAAACCTGGCATGTGACGGGGGTGAAAAGAGAGTGAGCTGTGGTTATTTGTCTATTTCATGTCAGAAATCTTACTAAGACCTTGACGTATTTTTTGATGAACTTTCACACTCGCCGTCTCTCCCTTTGACATAGCAGATACTTACTGAGCACGGGCTGGGTGCCAGGCTCTGGGGATGAAGTGAACAACCGCCCCCCCCCCACCCCCCGGCCCCAGAGGCAGGTACCGCCGCCACCCGAGGCCTACCGGCTAGTGAGCTCGCGGCAGAGTCGGGATTTAACTGCAGCTCTTTTTGACTCTAGAAGCTCTTCCATCTCCCCTGTCACGTGGCATGTTCAAGGTTGTGGCCTCCGTGCTCAGCTCTGGCAGCCACGCTGAGGCTGTCTTTCTGGTCCTATGCCTGACTTGCTGTGTGATGCTGGGTAAGTCACCTCCCCTCTCTGGGCCCCGCTCAGCTCTTCCATTCTTTGATGCCTTCACTGATAATTCCTTGGTTGCTTTGTTTGCCTTTCTACACTTCATTCGGGGAGACAGATAGAGATAGGTAGATGGGCAGAGATAGATGGACAGAGATTTAACACATCCTTAAGGGTTTCAAAGGTTCCTGCTCAGTTGTGGTTTAGAGTAAGTGGCGGATCCCTGATGGAGCCGGGAGGTTCATGATGGGTCAGGGACTAGGCATTTGGGGTGTGAAGGGGGTTTACCCTGGGGGCTCCTAACTCATCCTAAGGTCAGGCACCCCACTTCCCCCCTCCAACACCAACAATGTGAGGTGGGTGGTCCTAATCAATGCTGCAATTCCGGGCACCCACTGGGTGCCTATCAGTCGCTGTTGTCACCTGCTGGAATTCTTTACTTAGTTGGGCCACCCTGGAAAGCCCTGCTCCCATAACAGCTTGACCAACTGACACTCTTCAAGACACTGCTTGGATGTCACCCTCTCTGTGACACTCCATGACCTGCAGAGATAAATCCAGGGCCCCACGACGTCTCCATCCCCACCCCCACCCCACCGACCACAGCACTTTGCCCGCTTCTTGCCAGGTCTGTGTGTGGCCCTTCTTCCCTTCCTCAACTCTGAGCTCCTGGAGGCCTGGGAGCCCCCCTGCGTCATCACGGACATGCAGCTGCCCCCGCCCATAGGCTGTTCAAGTCCAAGAAGGTGGAGGCTCTCGTGTGTGTGCAAACCCTGTCCTTTACTGGCTGTGTGACCTGATGAAGCCACTTAACGTCTCTGTGCTGTCATTTCTAAATGCACGCCGTAATAACGCCTACCCGATAAGGATTCTTGGTCATTGTAACCTCCATTTATGAAGCGCCAACTAGGCATCAGACCCCATGCAACGGTGCTCTGCATGTCTTACCTCCAATTTGGGTAATCACCCCTCTGTAATGATCTCTATTCACATTAGCTCTAAATCACACAATTATTACCTCTACATAGTAACATTCCCGTTCATTATTGCTCACGGATATAAACTGCGCAGCTCAGGTCCCAGCACACAGTAGGTCCCTCATAAACGTCATCTTAAATGCACACAGCATCAACAGACCCATTCAGTACATGAGGGAGAAAAAGAGCCCCCCCCACAGCCAGGCACATGTGGCTGGGCCCTCGAGACCCAGCAAACACCGCCCAGCGCCCCCTACAGGCCACCTGCCCACCTCTGCCCGCAGCAGAGACGCTCTCTCCCTCGCCGCTGTGATAAATAACAATTGCCAACACTTAGGCAGGGCTGAGGGGCCCTGAGGACAAAATTATTTTTACTATCAAACCCAAATTGGTTTACTAAAACTGTCAGCAGAAACCAAGCGAGATAAATTAAACCCAGCAGCTCTCGGGCCTCGCGTAACCCTCGCTAGTGAGATGCTATTTTCACTCCCTCCGTGGGAGGGAAGAGGTGCCAAGTCCAGACGCCGCCCCACCAGGCGTGTGCTGGACTTTTCCAGAGTGGCCTGGTGGCTGGAGGGCTGGGCTCATCCCCCCACCGACTGCTGACCACCCTGCCTCTGCTGCCCAGTTTGGGCGAATCTGGACTCCCCCGTGCACCCCCCGAAGCCCTGCCTGACTCCACAGCCGCCTGGCGGCGTGTCCTCACTGATGTCACTCCCGTGTCACTGAGCTCCAGAGACGCAGGGCTCCCTCCTTTCGAGGCCTGGTGAGGATCCCAGACCCTAGGGGTGCAGCAAGCAGGGTTTGAATCCTAGCTTGGCCAGTTCCCAGCCACGTGACTTGGTCACTTGGCCCTCTCTCTGAGCCTCAGTTTACGCATCTGTACAATGGAGGACACCATGGAACCCACTGCACGTGTTTGTAGGGATGGTGCATGGGATGCGATTGGCTGGGATGCGCCACATGCTCTGCACAGCTTTGATGTTGTGGACAAATGGGAGGAGAAGGGCGCCTCCCTGCTTCCGAACCTTCGCACAGGCTATTCCTTCGGGCTGCAACACTGTTCCCTCTGTCTTTGCCCATCTCCAATCTGCCTTTCAGGTCTCAGCATGGATGAGGGATCTCTAGTTCCGCACGATGGACATTTGGGTGAGCTACTTCTCTGTGGAGGGGCTGTCCTGGGCATTGCCGGGTGTTGAGCCGCATCCCTGAGCTCCACCCCCTCGGTCCCAGTGGCACTGACTCCCATCATCAGTTGTCACCACCCGAAATGCCTCCAGACACTGCCCATGTCCCCTGTGGGCAAAATTGCTCCCGGTGACTTAGATGCTGCTTCCCTGGGGACATTTCTCTCCCTGCCACCCACCAGCTCGCCTGCCCCGTTCCCGGCCCCGAGGGCCCCCGTCCTGCATCCCTCTTGTGCCGCGTCCACTCACAACACGGGCTCCCCCAGGGCAGGCTGTGCCTGTCTGGCTCCCAGCCGGTGCCTCCTTCACAGGGGTGCTCAGTGCACACACGTGGAAGCGAATTAAACTTGCTCAGTGGGAAGAATCACAGTCTTACAATGTGTCGACGGTGACTGAACTCAGACCGAATTGGCCCTGGACAATGTAGGTTGCGTGCCCCATGGAGGACGTGGAACCTCCCCCTGGAGGGATGGCTCTCTCCCCGCTGACCCCATGTTGGAGCCTGTCTGGGGTCCCACGTGACCTTCACTCTGGCTCAGCACCCGGTGCTCAGACCACCCAGAAGAACGTATGGCCTCCCCGAGCCCCCCCCCCCACTTGGCCCCCGAGCTCTGCCAGTGGGTCTGAGCGTCACTGGTCTGGAGGGCCCCCGAGGTCTTCTCACTCTGGCCCCCACTTCTAAGTCCGTGGAGGCAGACCCTTCAGTACTGTGGCTCTCGGAAACCTTCTCTTGGGGGTCTTCCCGTTGCTGTTACTTGGCTTGATAATTTCTAGGCAACATGCTATTTCTTAACTAGGTTCCTTACGACGTAATAAACGTGGTTTATTGATCAACGGAGGCCCCTCCTGGGAGAATTCACACATTGTTTACTTTTTTCGCCCCTTGTGCATCACAGGCAGCTGGGCGTGAATTTGGGCTCACATTCTGGCCTAGAAATCTCCTGGGTGTACGTCACAGAAACACGGCGGTTAAAAGACCCTCTCTACAGTCCAGAGACACTGGGCCAGGGAAGAACCCACGGTCACATGGCTGGGGGTGGAGGAGACAGACTCCTGGTCCAGGTTGGCCGGGCCCTGGGTCCCCAAGAGGCAGGGCCTGTGAATCTCAGACTTGGTCCGAGCAGGAGGTCCTGGGACAGCCTCAGAGGACACTTCCACTCTCTCTAGGGGACAGCTTCAAAAGATAGTCACTAATCATTTTGCAAATAATTTCCCTCTTTACTTTCAAAGCTCCTCTGCAGAGCCAGGCAGCCCAAGTCCTACTTCCCAGCCAGCTGGGTTTGCACGTCAGCCTTGAGAGGACAGCTGACCTCAGAGGTCATGGCTGCATCCAGAGAGGCTCTTTAGAACTTGGCATTCCCCCTGTCCCCAGCCACGGTGTCTGGGTCTGCTTGGAAGCCTTTTCTTCTGCTTCTCCAGACACCGCCATCTGTCTCTGTCCCCTTCTCAGCTCCGTCTCACATGAGGGCAGCAGAAAGAGCATGAATGAGCAGCCACAAAAGCCTGGACTCAAATTTCAGCTCTGCAACTTGCCAGCTGGGCGATCCTAATCCAGAAGATAGGGTACCAGGCAGGGTCTTTTCCTTTGTGAGGATTACCTGACATATACATGTTTAGAGCGATCATCGGTGCATCTGGCCCCATTCCCTGGGAGTGCCCGGTCCCCGGGGAGTTGATGGAGGGAGTTCTAATTGGCACATGTAATAAGCACCACCACTGAGTACAGGAAGCAGCCGCACAGACAGGAAGTCCATTCACTAAAGCATTTCTTCACTAGAGATCATTTCCTGAGCGCCTGCTATGTGTCAGGCTCTGTGTTAGACCCTGGGACAGAGCTACATCAGACCAGGCCCGACTGGCAAGGACCTCTGGTGGGGCTGAGAGAGACAGCTAGGACATACACGACCACAGTACTGGTGACACTAGACATTTGGTCCTTTGAAAATGCTGTGCATACTCTCGCCTTTGCATATTCTGTTCCTATTGGGTGCATTTGCTCCAGCTCATCCTTGAGTTCTGAGCTTTAGTATCAGGTCCCCTGGGAAGGCTTTTCTGATCTGCTGCTTTGTATCAAATCCCCATGATATGATCTCACAGCACCACGCACCTGTCCTTACATCAATTACCAGAGTGACAGAATGCCGTTATTGGTGCTTTTCCTCACGTAATGCCTGCTTCCTTGGTAGATGGAATTCCCTGAGCACAGGGACTCTCTCCCTCTGCGTGCATGATGCTGTTTCCTTCACCATTGGGACCCCAGTTCTTTGCACAGCCCCTGACACATAGTAGATGCTTATTTAATACTGGCTGAAAGAATAAAGCAGGCCTAATTTCTTCCCCACTCCGGATGGCGGGGGGTCCACCAGTAAACACTCACAATTGGATGTCTAAGAAGATCCGTTTCTCCTCCCCTACGTGGATCTTCCAGATGCAGTCTTCGCCTTCCACGTACGGCTCTGGCCAGTTTGGGGACAGCACTACCCCGGCCACAGCAGAGAGCTCCCCACCACACATGGCTGGAATAGACAGACAGACAGACACACTTCATTTATGAGGAAGCCAATATGGCACAGCGGTTAAGAGTGTGGGCTACGAGGTCACGCAGCCACGGCTCACCGTGGTCGGGGGACAGGTGCCTTCACCCAGGAAGCCCATACACGTCTGTGGGACGATGAAATTGGGGCTGGCCTCCTGCCTCCTGTAGCTGAGGGTAGGGGAGGATGGAGCTGTAGTTCTGTCAGAACCACGGACAGAGCCCAACGTTCTGAATGAAGCCTCAGATGCCCCGCTCTTGTGCAGGGTGAGTAGTGGCTAAGAAATGGTACCTTCAGGCCAGGCGGACCTGGGTCCGAGGCTTGCCTTGGCCGCCAACACACTGTGTGTTACCTACAAGGCAGGTAACTCCTTGGAGCCTCTGTTTCCCTTCTCTGTGGAGCTGGAGTAATACCACCGCTGATGCCATTGGGTTGTTCTGAAGCTTCACTGAACTCAGGGGTGTCCAACACAGCACGGTGCCCGGCACAAGGCAAGTGCTCAGTAATCCTTAGTTCCTATGACTGTGAAGGACCCCGGCTCTGAACTGGAAGCAGAGATAGGACCGTACCCGGCACCTGGCCCTTTAAATTCCACTCTGTGTTTACCGCTTTGGAAAGTTCTCAACGTGGCAGAGGCCAAAGCACCAATAAATTCCGCTCTGTTAAACCAGCACATTTAATACAGAGATCAATTCCTCACCACGGCGGGGCTGTTATTTCACGCCAACCACCATCCAGGCGGCGGCTGCCAGGAGCGAGTGAGGCTTCTGCTCATTACTTCCATGCTCCACAGGCATCGGGTGCAGGGTGCCTACCTGGGCTCGGAGTGGGGGAATGGGGAGGGCAGGGCACTGGGGACCCAGGTGGATGAGGGTTCTACATAGCCAGCACTGTCCAGGGGGCTCAGAGCACAGGTCTCTGAGAACAGAGAGATCTGAGTTCCATTCCTGCCTCTGCCAATTACCCTTAGGCCTGGCATTCATAGTCTCAGTTTAGTCATCTGTAACTGGGGTCAATAGGAAGGGCTGTTGTGAGGATTAAATCAGACAACGACCACCCAGTCCTTGGCAGAGTGCCTGAAACACAGCGTTGGCACTCCCATTAACAATGGTCATTATCATTGCTATTACTAATTGGGCCCAGGACTGCCCTGTGCTGTTGGGTGGGCTAGCACCGCACAAGGGTACACTACAAAGGGACCCCAGAGCAGCTGAGATCAACACAGAGGTCTTGTTGCTTAGCTATGCACTAGTGACTTGTGCCTGGAGAAAGAGGCACCTTTTCAGATTTATGCATTCCGCAGCTTTCTCAACGACAAGCAGCAAACCTGACCCCAAGGATGGTGAGTCCCGGAGAGGGTCCCCAGACTTGAATTGGTGTGTAAGCTGGTGACAGGCCTCTACACAGAGGCCTTGGCTTTTCCATCTGAGGAAGGGGAGGTCCCTGGGGGGTCCCCTGGAGGGGGACGGTGGGGCCGCTCACCTCTGCACAGGGGCTCCGTGTCATTCCAGTACGGGTCCCGCATGTTGATGCACTCAATGACGGCCGGGCCCTGCTCCAGGGAATGACCGGGGTCGCAGGTGAACTCCACGATGGTCCCGATGTTGTAGGTCAGGTCGGATGTGGTGAAGTTCCCATTCTGAATGTAGGGCTCGTAGCAGTGACCTTTCTCGAAGGCTGGGGAGGGGGCACAAGAGAGGGACAGCGGCTCAGATGAGCCAGGGGCCACTCACAGTGCAGTGTCGCAAAAGATGGGCCCTTCCCGACACTTGGGGGTGCCCCCAGGGACACCAGGACCGGTCTCCGTGGCCTGGTTCCAGCTGACCTGCTGAAGGAAGGGCCCTCAGGCCATGCACTTGGCTCCTTGGGGTCTCGTTTTTTTTCTTGTTTAAAATGGAGCTAAGAATCTCTTCCCACCCAACCCTCCTGAGTTTTTAGGTTTAATTCCTTTTAGTGTCCCGTAGGGGTTCTTTTTATGTCCCACAACTGGGAGTCTTGATTTCTGCCACTTGAAGCCATCAATTTGGCTAAGAAAAAGATCAACTTTTCTTAGGGAAGACAGAACAGAAAGTTCCCCAAGGCACATGCAATACCGAAGGGCATCCTTTCTCCAAGGATCAGGACTGCCCAGGACAGGCCTTTGCTAATGAGTCTGGGAGGAAGCGGGGGCTGGACTCTAAGGGGTCCCACTGAGTAGAGCAGAGCTTACGGGACCAGACTCAAGCTGGACAGAAGTCTTAGCTCTGTGTTTTTTGCCAACCAGTGACCTTGAGCGAGTCGCTCAGGTTCCCTAGCCCTAGTTTCCTCAGTTCAAAGATAATAACAGCTCTCACGTTGCAGTGTGGTAAGCATTAAATGCACACTGGATGTAAGACACTGGGCACATGGTAAGTGCTCAGTAAAGGGTAGGAATTGTTTGTTAGGAAAGCTAAGTCTGCTTCTATAAGTCTGAGAGTCCATCTGGCCGCTGGGTCTCCCTTATGCCTGGACGGCCAGATTGCTCTCTCCCAGGACCCAGTCCCAGCCACACCATGCTTCCCCTGATCCCACCCCAGCACCCCAGCAGAGGGGGAGGCCCCATGGACCCTCACCCTCGAACCGGATGTTGAAGGAGGAGGCTGCCCGCGCCTGGTCGGACGTGAACTCGATTCGGATGCTGTTGCCCTCGCTCAGCAGGCCCTCGAAGGGGACGCTCTCCGTTTGCAAGGAGTCGTAGAGAAGAGTGGACCTGTTGGTCAGCCCACTGTAGACCTTCATCCTGGCGGTGGGAGAGGAGAAGAGGGCTGCTGAGTGTCCTCTCGGGCCACGGACACACGGCAGCGGGAGGGGCGTGCAGTGGGCACCTCTCATCCCCAGATCTTAATCCCAACTTTGCCCCGTACGTGCCCACAGCAGCTGCTTTACCTGACGGAAGCCGCTTCTTTGTCGGCAGAATGTCTGCCCTGGACTCATGGATTCATTCTGAGGTTGTAGGAGAAGTGATATGTACATGGAATAAACTGGGCTAATTAACTGATAGTAACTATTATTACTAATTGGAAAGTTGGGATTAATGAGCTAATATCATTCCTGAAATTGTGGTATAGATAGTCAGACAGAATCCCCACTCTGTAACTTCTGAGCTCTGTGGCTTTGGACAAGGGCACTTCACCTCACTGAGCCTCTGTTTCTTCATCTGTAAAATGGGTACGATCCCACCTACATCAGGGTGTGAGGATTATAGACAGTGAATATAACGTGTCCAGGATAGAATACAGGTCAAATTGATGAAGCAGTTGACCCCTGACAGGCTTTTCGGTCACTGCTTCCCAAGAGCACCGTGTGGGGAGTCAGGAGTCCTGACTTCCAGTCTCCAAAGCCCCACGAAGTTCACACACATCTCAACACGTCTTGGGCCTCAGTCTCCGAGACTGTGAAGGCAGGGATTAGAGCGTCTTATCTACTTTATAGGTGGGCTTTGAAAGTCTGATGGATAAAGTGCCCTGAAAACTAAAACCTGTTAGACAAAATGTTGCTATTCACTTTGGCTGTTATTAAAACCATTGGATACTTGACTCTTTGCTAGTCTTAGTATTTTTTAAAGAAATCATGCAAAGGTAGAGAAGAGTATACAAATTTGATAAGTTATATGTATGGAGTCATAAACAGGCAGTGAAAGTCCTTTGAGTCTTTTTTTTTTTACTGTGACCTATAAAAGGCTCTCTGTAATGTTGCCCAGATACATTTCCAATATCACCAAAAATGAATAGATGTTGGTGCTTCCCCTGATCCCACCCCAGCACACCTGTTCATTTTGCCATGTTTCTGCTGTGACTCTGGTGAGGAGGGGGCTGAGGCAGAGGCCGGGAGCCATTCCAAGAGTGGGGGGGGCCTCTCCACGGTCCTGGTTGCTGCTGACTCTGCTATATCCTGGGGGCCAAGCCCCAAGGTCTAAGTTTTAGACTGTGTCTTTCACCAAGGGTTCTAGGTCTGGCTTCTGAGTCAGTCTCTAGAAGGAAAGACTGGGAACCTGTTTTGTAAAGAGTTCCCCAAGTCAGCCGGATGCTACCACGAAGCCATGTTCCGAAAGCTCTGCTCTGCACCTCACACTCTAAAGCTGTGGTTTGTTGGGATGGAGTCGCTCAGGATAAGCGGCACCGCTTGGAGGGACACGCAGACGAAAGACCTGGGTAAGTTCTTCAGTGGCCTGGTGTTTTCTATACGGATCCCTTTCTACATAATGAGGATGATGGTCTAAGTGTGAAAATCCAAAGAAGCCCGGACACTATAAGCATGCACGATAGTGTGGGGAATGCTTGTGGGAGCAGGGTGGGGTGGGGAGAGGAGGGCAAAGGGGAAAATTAGGCCAAATGTAATAGAATAAATATGAATAAAAAAAGCAGAAAGAATCTGATGGATCCCCGAATTCCAAGGTGCGGGTCGGCATTTTGGAGGTGCATAAATGCTGCCAGCCCCAAACCCGCGCCCCTCAGCACCCACTGCTCAGATGCTTCCTGCTGGCTTCTCACCCAAAGTCTCTGAGAGTGAGCCAGCCCCACCAGCTCCAAGGGTGGATGACGGTCCTAGGGAGCTTGTGTGCCCAAGAGCATCCTTTCCGCAACCATCAACGGGAGGTGGCAGATGAGTAGCCCAGCGCCCTCGCCCCTCCAGAAGGACCACTCTGAGGCGTGTTCAACACTGTTTCCCAGTGGCTTATCTGGGCACCTGCTTATCGATGCAGACTGTGCTGACTCTCTTTCCTTCCTTCTCACTTTCTCTCTGTTTTCTAGGATCAGCTCCCAAATAAACCACTGTTCCTCACAGCCTTGTCACATCTCTGTTTCCAAGGGAACCAAACCCAAGACAGCACGCCTAAGCAGCTAAGGTCCTAGTTTTCAAGAACATTCAAGAGTACTGTGGTGTAAGGTCAGAGGATGTCACGGTTTTTTAAGATTCTGGATTCTGGGTATATTACTTAGAGTCTACAGATCTGCTCTCCCTTAGATACTGCACAGTGACTTCTCCCTAGCTCTTTGACATGCATGAGTCTCATCTTTCTTCTACTTTTCTCCTGTTCTCCATGAAGGCCAGTACGTGACTGGACACAGAGCAGATGCTGGATGAACACTCTCTCCTTGTTCAAATACAAAAAGTGATTATCAGGAGAAAGAATGAGGAGGAGGGGCAGCGTGTAGGGGGTGGTCTGATTCCCTTTTCGCCTCTTTCCTCATCTTGCTGTGTGACCTAGGGCAAGCCCCCTTCCCTCTGTCTGGCCCGGCTGCCTTACCTGTAAAAAGAAGGATCAAAGCTGACGATGGCTAAGATTTTTGCCATCCTCCTAGCTCTTTCGTTCTTGACTTCCACAAGCCAGAATTTCAGCCATTCCAAGACTCCAAGTCCCTAGCCACATTCTAACACTCTGGGAGGGAGGAAGGGAGGGAGGGAGGCTAGCCGGGGCCCTCAGAGGTTTACCTGTCCTTCTCGTGGAGTGAGAGCCACTCAAAGTGAAGGTGCAGCTTCTGGCCCTCTGGAGCTTCAATCGTCCACACGCAGAACTGACTCCCATTGGCGTTTCCAGGGTAACTTGGGGAGAGGACGTGGCCGATGGTGGCGTTGTGCACAGCCCCTCCACACGGGGCTGGGGGCAGAAAGTAAGTGTGAGTGGGTGATGGGGGAGGGGGAGAGAGGGGGAGGGAGGGGGGAGAGAGAGAGAGAGAGAGAGGGAGTTACATCCTCCCCGATCCCCACTCCTATCCATTCACGGGAGAAGCAAGACCATAGGGGAGACCAAGGGAAAGCCCTGTCCTCTGGGTGGGCCCCCCTGTGTGACAGAAAGTCTCACTCCATGGTAGGAGCCATTGCTGTGTGTGTTCCGTGGCAGGAAATAACTGTGATTTGAGGATGCTTCAACAGTGCTGGCTGTGCTCTGCTTCTTAATTATACAATGGTCATCAAGAAAGACATAAAGAGGCAGTTTACAGAAGATAAAATACACTTTTAGTACATAGCAAGCACTAAAAAATTCAGACCCCCTAATAGTAAAGAAATGCAAATGTAAACTATATCCTATTCTCACCCACCAAATTGGTCAAGGGGAAAAGTAACAATAACCCGGCGATAATGGGGTGACGGGAAACGGCCACTCTCACTCAGGACTGGTTAGAATGCAAATTGTATGAACCCTCAGGACAGAGTTTTAGTGAAACAGCTTAGATAGTATTTTCAAGCGCTGTGACCCAATAATTAAGGTTCTGGGAATTCATTCTAAGAAAAGATTTATAGGTTTTCACAGAAGTTGATGAATGAGGATGTTCACTGCTGGACTTCTTTTAAGAGACAAAAATGAGAAACAACACGAATGTCCACTCACAGGGGACTGGTAAAATAAATACATTCCATGCATGCAGTTTTTAAAGAACCACGTTCTCAGAAGAACTCTTGAGAATATAGGAGAATGCTCACTGTATTTTAAGTAAGAAAAAAAAGCTAGGAAGACCACATCTGCCACATCTATTTCAATGAGCTGTATGCAAGGGTCAGTTGAGACCATGAACATAAACGTGATTTGCTCCTGTATTCAATACATTTGTATTTCTTGAAAGCTTTTTCCAATCAGAACCATATACTACTTTCATCATCAAAATCTAATAAGTATTAAAGAGTGATTGATGAACTTGGAAGATCATCACAAGCGTAGAGAGGTAGTCCTTTTTGTATTCTTAGGAGATACTTGGTTCTCATTAAATGGTTTTTTGGGGGGACTGTACAGCAAACAAGGACTTGTGGTAGGAGAGAAAGGTAGACAGTTCTCTTTGCTCGGGACTTGGCTGGGACTTAGAGCAAAGACATCGCTAGGGAGCCCGGCTCTCCTTTCAGCACCACGGACAGAGCACCGCGTCCCTGCCCAGGCTGTCCACGCATCCGTCCTAAAAGAGACGCTCACACCTGGCCGGAGCCACGGATCTGCTGTGGCTCCAGGACGAGCGACGAAAGCTCCCTGAACCTGGAACTCACTGTAAAATGGCAATAATACTCCCACCCTCCTTAGACAGCCGCGGTGAGGAACCAGGGACATGCTGCACGCAGGGGGCCGGGCGCAGTCCCTGGCACAGAGTAGGCGCTGAAGCAGAGCCAGCATTAGCGTCCTACGGCTCGGGCGCTAAGGAGGTGGAGGACACTGTCCGTGAGGGGGGCGCTGGCCATCTGTCCTCCCCGAGCTGCTCCTCATTTGCTGCCTTTCCACCCTTTTCTTGCTTTATTAAGCTGACCGATAGCTCTCTTCGGTTTCAATTTGCCAGCCGTGGCTCTCCATCTATCTTTCTTAGCACAAATTGAGGTTTAATTTCTCCTTGATTTCACACATAGATAAAAATTAACGTGAGAGAGGTGCAGAGACCAACTACCCTATGTTTTTTTTCTCTCCTTGTTAAAAAGAAAAGAAGAAAAACTCTGAAAGGCCTTGGGGGAACAATACTGCAACCATTAAATCTCAGAATTTATTATCAGCTCTCATTTGCTCTTTGGATTCCACTGGTTATGGAGGGTAGGAGTTATGTTTATTGTTCCAAGTGTTCTCCTTGCGTGTGGCTCATGGCCTGGCACATAGTAGGCATTCAGTTAACATGGTACCTTTGCCCTCCTGGTCACCATCAGGACTTTTGAGAATCTAATAAGACTTTGCTGTCTTGGTAGCCCAGAGGGGTCAAGGCTTTGCCCACTGGTCAGGAACCTGGTGGAATGACCCAGTGCCTCTCAGTCTAGCATGTGCGTGTGCGTTACACAGGGGGCGTGTTTAGATGCATATTTTGATTCCATTGGCCTTGCATTAGGGCCAGGATTGTGCATTTCTAATAATCTCACTGGTCAGCAGACCACATTTTGCATAGCGAAGGTGCAGTAAGGAAAAACTTGGGAGAGTAGGTTTCTGGACTCAGTCAATGCCTGTCTGGTGACTCTGGGTGAGTGCCTTCACCTCCATGAGCCTCAGTCTCCTGGTCTGTGTGATGGGGAGAAGGGTTCCACCACGTGGGATTGCTGTGAGGAGTTACTGCAGCCTTGACATTGTGCTCAGTGCATATGAACTGGGCTCATGGCCGCAGCCACACCAAAGGTACAAGCAACAACAGAAAAAATACATAAATTAGACTTTGTCACAGTCACTTTTTTTTGTATCAAAGGACACTATCAAGAAGTGAAAGGACAAGCCACAGGATGGGAGAAAATATTCTCAAATCATATATCTAATGAGGGTCTCATAGCCAGGATATAACTCCTTCAATTCAGCAATAACAAGTCAAACAACCACATAAAAAATGGGCAAAGGCTTGAATAGACATTTCTCCTAGAATACATACAAATGGCCAAGGAGCACGTGTGAAGCTCAATATTATTGGCCATCAGGGAAATGCAAATCAAAACCACAATTAGATATCACATCATACCTACTAGGATGGCTATAATAATAAAAAGAAAACATGGAAAATAACAAGCATTAGCGAGGATGTGGAAAATTTGTTCTCTTGAACGTGGCTGGTGGGAATGGAAAACGGTGGTGCAGCCACTGTGAGAAATAATCTGACAGTTCCTGAAAAAGTTAGACATGGAATTACTGTATGATCCAGCAATTCTACTTCTGGGTCATACTTCTACCCCTCGGACCCCAGAGAAATGAAAATACATGTTCACACAAAACTTTCACACAGATATTCATAGCAGCATTATTCATAAGAGCCCAAAGTGGAAACGATTCAAATATCTACCAATGGATGAACAGATAAAATGTGGTCTATCTAACAATGGAATATTATTCAGCCATAAAAAAGAAATGAAGTTCCGATACACAGCACGACAAGGATGAACCTTGGAAATGAAACGCTTAGTGAAAGAAGCAACTCACAAAAGATCACAGATTGCATGATCCCATTTACAGGAAGCGTCCACGGTGGGCAAATCCACAGAGACACAAGCGTGTGGGTGGTTGCCAGGGCTGATGGGGAGGGGACCATGGGGAGTGGCTGCTAATGGGGATGAAGTTTCCACATGGGGGTGGTAAAGATGTTCTGGAACCACACAGCGGGGTTGGTTGCACAGTACAGGGAGTGCACGAGATATCACTAATGGTCCGTGTTAGGTGATGGGCGTTTTGTAGCAGTTATCTGTATTGGGAGCAGTCTCTCCCCTGGGGAAAGAGCCTAAGTCCAAGGTCGGTCTTAACGCCCTGGGGGTTGGCCCCTCCCCTCTCACTGCACCGTGCCAGTGCAGTCTGCTGAGGCTGCAGCGTACCTGAGCAGATGGGCTCGTGGCTGCTCCAGTGGGGCTTGGAGGCGTTGATGCACGTCAGCGTCCTGGCGCCCTGGAGCTCGTAGCCCGGGTGGCAGTGGAAGTGGGCCACCCCGCCCGAGTGCAGGTCCATCACCGTGACGTCCCCGTAGTCCGGCCGGCGGGGGAAGTTGCAGCTCAGCATGAAGGCTGGGAAGAAATGCAGAGGCAGGCGGTCACCCCTCCGAGGGTGGAGACGGAGAACGTGACCCACTTCCGGGGGCCAGTGTGTGCTGAGGAGGGAAGCTGAGGCCCCTGGGGACTCGGGAGAGCTGGAGGCAAGTATTTCTGTCTCCCGTTGATCGCACGGGGAGCATGTGGTCCAGAGCTCCCGGCCCTGGCTGACCAGAGACAGCAGGTTTGGGGTGCAAAATGAGCTCCGAGCCTCCTTTGAGCCGCTCTCCACATGGACCTAGAACGGCTTCTCCCCGGGAAAGGAGGGGCAGTGTTGCCCTTGTGGGGGGAGTCCCACCTGCACGAATGCTTCAGAAGTTTGTTAGAGATGCAGACTCCTGGACCTGAACGAGAACAGCCAGCCCTTCGGGAAATGTCGGAGGGGAGGAAAACTTGAAAACAATTGTCCTGGGAGGCAAGTGGCTGGGCTTTGGAAGGAGACCAAGTTGAATTTACTTCCTTACCCTATCACTTAGACAATGTGTGACTTTGAGAAAGTGATACTGTGCCCTAAACGTCACTTTCCATGATCTTTCCAGCAGAGTGGACGATTGTCCCCACCTCCCCAGAGGTGGTGAGGATGACGTGGGAAATGCCTGGCATGTAGGTGGCGTTCGCTGCACCGGGGTGGCAGCAGGGGGCATGTGGCTCTGTTGAGTCCCTCGGTTTTCCGGTTTTCCGAAGAGGATGCTCAGCTCCTCCTAGCTCCACCCCCCCACTGCGGTCTGCTCTCCCCTGCAGCACGGGGCCCCCGCACTCTCTGCACCCAAGTGCCTGGCTCAGCGAGGGATTCCTCCCATTTTTTAAATTAGCAAACAACAATATCGAAAAGTTGTGATGAAATGAACGCTCCCATATCCAGCCATCCACTTGTTTCAGAGAAGTTAAAACTGAATTGTTTTTCCAGATATCTGGTCCGTCTGATGGGAACGTGGATGGTCCCCAAATTCTAGATGGCTGGCCACTGACTCCACTTTCTACTCCGATATTTGGAGAGTTGAGCGGGGGGAGTTCCCAGTGAAGGGAAGTAAGCCAAGGCCGTGGGAACTGCCCAGAAAGTGGGAACTTGGGAAAATGAGGGAGAGCAAGAGAGAAAGAAGACAGGATGGAGGGTGGGAGTGAAGAGAGGGAGAAGGGGACAGGAAGGAATAAAGGAAGCAAGAAAATACAGAAGTAGAGAGGGGGGAGCGGGAAGGAAGGAAGGAAAGAGAGAAATGAACAGGAAGCAAAAGAAGGTGCGTTCAGAAGCAGGTGAAATGGCAAGAAAGCAATGCCGGGGAAGAAAAAAGAGACAGGGACCCTGGTGGCCGGGCCCTGTACGAAGTCCACGGACTCTCATGTATCGAACGCAGGAGCTGTGAACTTGGAAGTGAGGCGTTCTCATCCGCACGAACATGTAACTGCACTGTGGTGCTTCCCTCAGTCACGAACGTGGGGACAAACTGCCACGCAGCCACAGAATCTCTGACTTTGTCACCGGGAGAAATCACAGATATTTTCCCGTCATAATGGAGAGCTTGACATATTTCTTACGCTCCTCAGAGCTTTGAAATTACAGTGATTATCAGAACTGCCAGGAGATTTTAGTATTTAACGTGTTAAGGAGGTACACAGATTACGGTATCAGAGATTAAAGCAATATTTTGACAACTGTAATTCGCTATGACTGGTTCCCTTCTTAGTTGACATAGTTTTTTTTATGCTCTTACGCACATTGTTTGGAGAAGAGGTCTATAGGTACTACCAGACTGCCAGGGGGACCCCGGGACAAAAAGTTTGAGAGCCCACAGTTTCCAGAGGGAGACGGAGGCGAACGGCCGCATCCCGCCAGCCTCGGCTGAGCCTACCCTGGTAGTGCAGCTGGAAGGTGCCCAGGCCGTCGTCCTGGAAGGTCCGGAAGTAGACGGAGATGGTGTTGGTGGGGCTTCGGATGACCTGCCCCTCCACCAGGAGTGTCTGGTTGGCCAGGACGGTCAGCGTGGGGCCGTCCACCCCGCGGATGGACAGCAGCTCGCCCTCAGACAGGTTGACACTCTTCACCTGGGGGCAGGCGGGGTGGGGGGAGGGACAGAGAGAAACCGAGTCACGTCTGAGCCACGGGAAAGGCACATATCCAGACCTCTGACCTTGGCCCAGAAGGGCCTCCACCCCGTGGTACCAGCCTCTTCTTCCCGCTCCACCCGGTTTTCCCCTCGTGGGACAGTGAACCGGACGGTTCGCCGCTCCCGGCCCCGTCTCTTCAGGCCCGTCACTCTATGGGGTGGCCAGCCGGGGAAGGTCTGGAGCCAGGTGAGTGCGCGCAGGTGGTAATGCACACCGAGTGCGCTCTCGGGCCGAATGCTCCCTGTACATTGCCATATCCACTCCTCCCTTGACTCTGTAAAGTAGCAACATTATCACCTTTACTTTACTGATGGGGGAACTGAGGCTCAGAGAGGCGGAGTCCCCTTGCCCAACGCCATGCAGCTTTAACTGGTAGAGCTGAGACCCCAAAATCCGGGTGTCTGAATTCGGCACCGCCTTCATTTTCCGTCTGAGTTTACAGGCAAAAGTCTACGGATGGAACGAACCAGGTGGGGCTTCCGTGTGTGTGTGTGTGTGTGTGTGTGTGTGTGTGTGTGTGTGGTATGCAGGGCAACAGAAGGCTTTCTTTCCTTCTGGGTATAATGCCTCACAGGGTATCGGCATGCCCTTCCCTTCACGTGTGTCCAGCTAAGGCAAGGAGAGGCCCGGGAGAGTGCGGATGCTAACGGAGGCCTGGCTCCCACGGTCCTCCAGAGACTTCCTGCTGGAAGAGGCGGCAGCCACTAGGGGCGCTCTGCGGCGGTTACCTGGAGCTCCACCCCGTAGCCAGTGTAGACCGTCACGTTGTACGTGCATTCGAGGAAGTTGTTGAGGGGCAGGGGTGGGTAGTCGCTGGAGTCGATGTACCCTTCGGGGTCTGAGAGGCTCACGCTGCAGAGAGCTGGAGGAAAGCGCTTCAGTCAGTACCCGAGAGGAGCTCAGCTGACACGGGAGCATCACTTACCACCTGCTGCTAGGCACTGTTCTGAGCAGTGTTTAATAGACGGTAAGTGATGGTGCGGCTGGGACCTCCCTGCCCCCAGGCCCCGCCCCCCCGGGTGCCTGGTGGATGCTGCAGCAGGCAGGATTGGGGGCTGCCTACCTGGGGCCTGCTCTGTCGTGATGACCGTGGTGGTAATGATGGTGGACGTCGTGGTCTCCTGGCTCTCCTCCGAGGCTGAGCCGGTCAGCTCATTCTCACCTTTGTCCATCAAGGTCATCGGACTGGCGTCCTCAGCAGGAGCCTCCTGGGCCTCATCGGGCACCACGGGCTCCCCGGGGTCCGGCCTCTGGGGGAGCGTGTGGGCCACGTAGGGCTGCGAGGTGAAGGGAGAGATCTGCAGGGGTGCGGGCGTCGTGGGGCCCGCACCTTCCTTCCGGTCCAGCCAGAGGGGCTCCTCCGACGGCAGCCGAAGGGTCTCCCCACCCGCGGAGGCCACCGGATCGGGGTCCCCTGGTGGGCCAGCCTTCCTCGTGGCCAAGGAGAGGAGACCCAGGCCTGGGGATGCGGGCTGGGACCCCGCCCTCGGGAGGATGGCTGCGGAGGTGGCCTTTGGTCTCAGCTGTTTCCTGGACGAGTTCACCTGCTTGAGCGAAGGCAGCCTCTTCTTTGGGGGGAAGGCGAGCTTGGTGCTGGGCTCCTCCGGAAGCCGTGTGGACAGGGCCACGGGCTCCGGGTGCACAGAGGGGGCCGCCCCTTCCAGCTCCGGGTCCTGGAGCTCTTCCCCCGACTGCGCTGGGCTCGGAGGGGCCGTCGTCACTTTCTCTTCCAGGCTGACTTTGCTCGGACCGGTGCTCCCTAGTGCTCCCGAGGGCAGGAGGTAAGTACCAGAAGGGCCAGCGTCTCCCTCCAGGGGCGCATCTTGGGGAGAGGAGAAAAGCCACCAGTTAGCTTGGGGCTGGGGGGTGTGGGTCCTCCCCCTTCTCTCAGATTCCCAGGGGAGCCCTCCTGAGGTGGCTCCCAAGGCTCCTGGGGGCTCAGCACAGCCGGCTAACAGATCGGGGGCTGCCTCTTTCCCTTCCTCCCTTTCTCCCTCCTTTCCCCCTTTATCCCCATTTCCATCTTCGTTTTCTCTCTCCCTTTCTCTTTGTGCCGGCCATGGAGATGCAGGGTCGACCGTGCCAGGCCTGGGCTCAGCATTCGGGCTACAGAAACCGAGGGCACAGGGGCTGTCTAGTGGTATATGACCTGGGATAGAGAATAGGAAAGTAGAAATAATCGCATTTGATGGGATAAATGCTTAGAAAGAGGGAAGTTTGGCACGCTACTGGGACAGAGGGGACAGGGCCCTCACCTACTCTGCAGAGCAGGCCCACTGAGCACAGCTGGGCAGGCGGTTCACGGCACAAGGACCCCCGCTAAGAGGGTGAGTGGGCTGTCATCTGCCCACACTCTCTCCTTCAGGCTCTGTGCCACCCCTTCAGGGCTGGACTGCCCTCCTGGGACTGAGAATATTTTTTTTTACTGAATAATATATAAGTGACCTTGTGGAAGACACAGAAAGACTTGAGGGTTCGGGATCAGGAGGCCTGGCTGAGGTCAGCAGGAATGCGAGGGGGCAGGGAGCAGAGGTGGGAGCTAATTCCAAAGAAAGCTGGCGAGGTGGGGAGGTCAGGCGGGGCCAGGCCCTGGCGGCCCAGTACACCCTGCTGACGCCTTCTGATTTATTTTCGTCTTGAAAGTGAAACCACTCGGTAATCTTAAATAAGGGCTGGCCCTGGCAGCTCTTTGGCAGAATCACGCCTGCCTGAAAAATCAGCTTCACGAACTTATTTGAGGCCCATTCTGCCAGTTGCATGGTGACAAATGGCTTTATCTGAGCCTCAGTTTCTTCAGCTGTAAAATGGGGCTGTAATTCCCTATTTCCGGGGGTTGTCCTCCTTCCGTAGGTTAATGCAGGTAAAACACAAACACATACATGTACATGGGGGGGGTCACCCAGAGCGAGTGCCTAGCGCCTGCCACCGTTCTTGCTGTCATGCTTGGAACACGACCCTCAGCAGGAAGCTGGAGTGGTCAGAACATGCCCGATGTCAGTCTCGAGTTAGACAGGACTGATGGCTGTCCTTGTCACTTCTCTGCAGGGAGACACTCACTCACTCAGCCACAGCCTCGGGCCCTCCGGCACTGCCATTTCAATTTATTTCCGCAGCCCTCGGAAAGGCTCATTTACTTCCACGGAGTCGGTGGCAGCGGCTTAATCTCTATGGGCTGCAACAGTTTGCAACTGGCACCGGCCAGTGTTCCTGCCGGGTGACACTGATCACTAACCGGTGTGCCTGGCAGGCTGACGGTGGCGCCGGGCAGGTGTGGCCGTGGGGAGGAGAGGGCGCTCGCAGGACCCGAGGGCAGATCAAGGGCATTCAGGGGCCAAGCAGGCTTCCTGGTCGAGAGTGGGAAGCGTTGAGGCTTCGGAGTTGAACCTGGGTTCAAATCCTGCCTCTGACAGCGACAGGCCGCGAGAGCCTGGGCACGTCCGTGAAGCCTCTTTTGTGTAACAGAGATACTCTGTCTACCTCACGGAAATGGTCAGTGTGGGTCTGCCCCAAGGCTGTGGCTTTCATGCTCAGGGTCGCTTTTATCAAAAGATCGGTGTCAGTGCTCTTTGCAGACTGGAGTGAGCAGAAGGGGAAGGGACAAGAAGAGTGGAATATAAGAATCAGGGAATCTAGCTCCTGAGACCCAGCTGTGCCCCACTGCGCAGAGCTCAGAGGCCACCAGGGGCTGAGGGGTCCGTGGTGGCCCTATCCTGGCCTCTACCCCCTGGGGTAACTTTGTGTAGGCTTCCTCTTGTCTCGGTCTTCTGTCTCCGGGTCCAATGGGCTGTCGGGGCCAGATAAGGTCTGTGGGCCCTTCCAGCTCTGACTCTGTCAGTTTCCAGACAGATCGTGTAACTGGCAATTATTCCTAGCACCTTTTGTTAATCTTGTTTCCAAAAGGGCCCAGTGACGGCTTTGATCCTGACATTGGCTTGTGAGTTTTGTTGGGTCCTGTGGCTACATTAGTTTCAACTAGTCCCTTCCTACAAGTGTCCCTTTGATCCCAAGTGGGGGAGCTGAGAGAGAGGAAGAGGAAGAGGGAGGGAGGGAGAGATTAGGAAAATAATGTGTGTGAAAGAAGGTAACAAAAGAATTATAAAGGGCATAAAGCATGTTGGTGGGCCTTGGCCAGTAATAATAGTAATATTTATACCTTTTTATTTTTGATTATTTTATTGAGTGCTGAATATGTGCTAGGCATGTGCTAACATGCTTTGTGTCCTCATGTAATTCTCCATTCCTCATTTTTAAACTCATTTAATTCTTTCTCAGCCTTATTAGGTAGAAATTATTATTCCTGTTTTGCAGCTGAGCAAATTGAGGCTTTGGGACATTCATTAATGCTCCAAGGTCACAGAGTAAAGCTGGATTCCCAACCTCATTTTCCTGGTGTCAAACACCATGCTACTAGCTCTCTTAAGAATTAGGGGGTATTGCCCTGGCCGGGTACTCAGTTGGTTAGAGCGTCATCCCAATATGCCAAGGTTGCAGGTTTGATTCCCAGTGAAGGCACACACAGAATCGACCAATGAATGCGTAAGTATGTGGAACAACAAATCAATGTCTCTCTCAATCTCTCTCTCTTCCTCTCTCTAAAAATCAATAAATAAAAATTAAAAAAAATTATGGGGTATTGTGATCACTGACATCCTCCTCCTCAGCCTGAAGCAGCCTCTTCCCCCCAACTCCTCTCTCCAAACCCTCACTCTGTTTGCCTCTGCGCTGGGTGAGCTGTCTATCGAACCTCCCGGGGGGTACTCCCCATCCCCCGCCCTCGTTACAATACTTGTCATTGTCCTCCTCTGCCGGACCCATCTCGTTTGACTCCTCAGGGGTGGGTCCTGAAAGCTGAAGATTCAAAAGCTTCTCTAGGCACTCTTATTATCACGCAAGTTCATTTCCAGAACTTGGCACCTCACCTAACCTCCCACGCGTTCCTCATTCATTTTGCCTTCTGCGCGCCTGGGGTGGCAGGTGGCAAGCAGGTGCGGCAGGTGGTGACCCTTTCCAAGGCCTGTGACCTCCCCTGGTGATCCTAGCCCTTCGAGATCCAACACGGCCAACCAGAGCAGAAGGAAATGCGAGGGAGAGATTCCGTAACCAGCTCCCTCCCATGGCCGCCACTCACATCGCTGGGGGTGCCCAGGGTGAAACCCTGGAAGCCTCTTAGCAAGTAGGTCCAGCAGACCACTCAGCCCTGTTCCTTTGACAAGCTGACTGCCAAGGAGAGTTGCATATTCACCAGGTGCATTTACCTCCCTGCCCCTAGTGTTTCCACCTCGGGGCTGAGATATGACGGAACCGCCCTGGCCAGCTCCGAACTCGGGGCCATGCTCCAGCCAGAGGGGCGTGTATCTCCAGTCTGCAGTGTGTGCCGCCTGCAAGGCCCACAGGCCTTGCTCTCTGCCGGGATGCTGGCCAGAGGAGCGCCACACAGAACCAAGTCCTACCGGGAACTGGTCGCAATCGGACTCCAGGGCCCCAGAGATCCAGCACCTTCAGAACTTGCTTGAATGGGCCGGTTAGGCGGGGGGCCCCCATGATCACTGAGTTCAATCCGCCTCTCTTTCTCAGAGCCCTTAAAATGTTCAGCCGCTGCAGTCACATCTGGCTGACCCTTGAACACACGTGTTCAGCGCCCCGCTCAAACGCTGCCCACCAACCAATGAGTGAAAGCGTTGGGCACCCACTCTCTCTGCTGGTTGGCCCTCTGCGGGGGAGCGTCAGCACACTAGGATGGGGCCCCTGCACTCAGGGGGTTAAGAAGACACACACCACACAATAGTAGCTGATACGGGTGTCAAAGAGAAGAGATGGAGCTTTCATTGAGTCCGTATTGCCGCTACTCTCCCCTCTCTCCAGAGAATGGAGCAATATGGAAGGCGGCTGAGCATTTGTTCTGCCGCCCAGGTAGAGGGGAAGCACATTTCTCTCTCCTTTCTAACTTGGATGGGGAGATGGGAAACTGGACTGGGAAGCATCCCATTACAGTAAAAACTGCAACAGTTCTGAAACTGAAGTTTGGTGTCTTTTTATAAACCCTCACTTGAGGCCATGTATATTGATTTTAGAGGGAGAGGAAAGGAAGAAGAGAGGGAGAGAAACATTGATGCGAGAGAAACATCGACCAGCTACTTCTTATACGTACCCCTACAGGGGACTGGACCCACAAACTAGGCATGTGCCCTGACTGGGAATCGAACCCACGATCTTTTGGTTCACGGGACGGTGCTTCAACCCACTGAGCCACACTGGCCGGGGCTGGAGGTCTCTGCCTTAAATTCCGGGCAGCCTTGGAATGAATGGCGAGGACCGGCATGGATTCCGAGTGGCAGCCTAGCATCCAGCAGGTGCAAAGTGATGGAATGCAACGTGGAGGAAACCACCGCTGGGGGATGCTTCTGCTGTGATGCCCCATGAGCTGAGCAAGACGCAAAACTCCACGGCATGAATGGAAATGACCAGGAACAACCAACTAAAACAAATCGCAACGCAGAGAGTTGTCTGGTCTTGAAGGAGCTGCACCAATGGGATGGTCCTGGCTGCCTCTGGGTGGCGGGACTGCTGGGGGCGCATGTTCTTCCTTCTCCTTTTTGGTATTTTCCCCAAACCTGTATGACACATATTTAATTCTTTCCGAAGTGGAAAAAGAAAGTAAGAAAAGAGCAGGGGTCAAAGGCTGCCTTTAGCGCCGAGGGATGGAGAGGCTGATGGAGATGCAGACAGACGCATCTGTAATTACAGAAGCATTTTGTTCACCCTCTGAGTCATCCAGCCCCTTTGGAATCCAGTTTCCTGGCGGGGAGGATGGTCCCTCCCTCA